CTCTACGAACCCGTACAATGATTAAAAGACCCATACAACCATCACGTACATACAGTGTTCGGTCGAAGAGTACAAGCCCATGCATCGTGAATCAATAACAACAGCAACGGCAGCACCAGCAGCAGCAGCAGCAGCAGAAACAGCAGCAAAAATTTAAAAGAACTAATACTAAAAGAACAATATCAACAATTATTTTCTCTATCTCATTTTTACGAAGCGGGAATACTTTACGCTTTTGAAATGTGTCGTAACCGGCGTTTGCGGTGTTGCGCTTGGGTGCTTTGCAGTCGCTCAGCGAAAACCTGAGTTCAATTCCGGCGTAGGGAGAATATTTCTCGAGTATATCGGTCTTTCTGCTTCTTCTTTATAACTCTCTTAGCAAGGGCTGGCCCTGACAGTCAGGGGTCGAAGCAGCCCGCATTCGGTATGATTTAAATTGTGTCGAAGGGGGCGTAAAATACCTTCTTCTTCTATCCCGTGGTTGGGCAACCATTGGGGCACCACTGCATTTGAAAACCAGTTCTCGCCATCTATTTTTGTCCTCTGCTATCCTCAGATTGTCACCCATCGTCTTTCCTGTCCACTCTGTAATGTTGTCCTCCCACCTCCTTCTCTGCCTTCCTCTCTTTCTCTTTCCTTGCAGGATTATAATGGTAAAGTACCTACACAGACTTAAATGTGTCTTAACCTCTGTCTGTCTATTTAGTTAGAGACCATCCCCACAGCAGACGACTATCGACTGTACACGTACGACTTCGACGACCTGGCTATGAAGGACGACGATACCATCAGAGCAACCATCAGGATGTTTGTCGACGCTAATCTCATCAATACCTTCAAGATACCCTACGAGGTGAGGGCATGCTGTTTCCAGTCTGCATGCTGCGGAGCTATAGGGAGTGCAAATGTGCTTGGTTTTATTTCTTTGCTTTCTGGCTTTTAAATGGTGTTTTTGTTGCGGATGTTGTTTTTGTAGTTGGTGGTGGTGGTGGTGTTTGTTTGTTTGGGGGGGGGTGGCTGTTTACATTCTTTGTTGTATTCAAGGTTGGTTGGGCTTTGCTTCGTCTTTGAAATTTTGGTGTGTGTGTGTGTGTGTGTGTGTGTGTGTGTGTGTGTGTGTGTGTGTGTGTGTGTGTGTGTGTGTGTGTGTGTGTGTGTGTGTGTGTGTGTGTGTGTGTGTGTGTGTGTGTGTGTGTGTGTGGTGAGGGGGGTGTCTGTCGTTTGTTGTTCATTCCGGGAGAAATATGGGGCAAGAAACTAAAGAGTGCCAAACAAATCATGACAGAGGCAAAGCATTTTTGAGGAAAGAATAGTGGAGGAAACGAGAGGGAATGGTGATTGTATTCTTTGTTTTGCTCTTTATTTGCGTAGTAGCTGAAACTACTAAGATAATAACTCTGTCCGCCTATCACAGGTTCTGAAAGTATAGCTGACTCAGTCACATCGGTATACTCAACTCTCGAAATGATTACTTACTTGATTAAATTTGATCCCCGCCAGAGAGAATTTCTAGTTTGATATGTTAATGTACGTGTCCTTTTTCAGACGATGTGCCGTTGGGTGTGCACTGTAAAGAAAAACTACCGTCCGGTGACCTATCACAACTGGCGACATGCCTTCAACGTGTGCCAAACCATGTTCACCATGCTTTACGTGAGTATCTACAGTCTTCCTTTCTCATTAAAGAAATAATAATAATATTGTTATCTTTATGCTCCAATGTTACCGTGTTACCATTTCCCCATTCCGTCTCTGACGGCAAAGATCTTGAAATACAAACAGTACATAAATCTAAGTAGTTATATATTTATATAGAACAAACAATTAGTATTTTTATTTGTTTTCTGCCCTCAAACAAAAGAAATATAAAGATATTACTAACATTGGCCTCCCTCACCACACACTGACACACAAAAAACACATGCACACACACACACACACACTCGCGCGCACACGCACACACACACACACACACACACACTCGCACACCCCCCACACACACACACACACATAAACTCATGCTCTCAGTCCGACAAGTTAAAGGGTGCTGATGTTAAACTGAAGATGAGTACGTTTTGTTCTCAAGGTTTTACGTACAAAGTAAGTTACTAAGTTCATTATCAAAACATCACTACCTCAGAATTGCAATGTTCTCTCTGACATTGTTTACCGTTTTTGGGTTACTCAGACCCAGAGGTCAGAAAGAACATGTTCTATCTGCTGTTTCAAAATCGGAAGGTTTTGCGGTGTCATTTATAAAATATTCAAATAATTGGATTCGAGATGTGGAACTCAACATTTTTTAGGTCAAATTTCTCTAAACTAGGTACTGAGCAGGTAGATTTGTGTAATTCTGAGGTAGCCACATGGCTCTGGGTCCATACAATATTGTTAGAATCTCCCAAAAGCAAAAATGATTAGTAGCACGAGATTGTCATAATCATACAAAAAATGTACAATGTGTTATGTCGACCTTCGGGGGCTAGATTATTGTGATGTGTGTTATATATAATGAAAAGAATTTGTTCCACTCTTCCACTTGTTCATTGTTCGTCTGTTTGGAATCTATAGTCTGAGCCGGCGTCTGTGGTGTAGCGGTTGGGCGCTTCACTGTTACACGCAGTAAACCCGAGTTCGATACTCGCGAGTCGGGAGAATTTTTATCGAGTATCTCGATTTTTCTGCTGGGATGGCCCTGACAGGCAGGGTTGGAAACCCATCTCTTAAATGATTTAAAATGTGTCCATGTGAGCGTAAAAAAATCACCATAATCTGATCTCTGACCTCCGATTTCCTTCATGCCAGACGGGTGAACTGCGTCCCAAGTTTGACGCTGTGGAGGTGTTCGCCCTGATGGCTGCCTGTCTCTGTCACGATCTGGATCACCGGGGCACCAACAATGCCTTTCAAGTCAAGTAAGCTTTTCTCTGTATTGTATCATTTGTTATTGAGTTAACTTTTCTCTTTTTTAATTTTATCTTTCTTTTTTATTTCCTCATTTGTTATCGGGTTAGATTTTTTTCTCTCTTTATGTTATCATTTGTTATTGAGTTAGCTTTTCTCCCTTTATTCTATCATTTGTTATTGGGTTAGCTCTTCTCCCTTTATTCTATCATTTGTTTTGAGTTAGCTTTTCTCTCTTTTTTATCATTTGTTGTTTGGTTAAATTTTCTCTTTTTTTAAATCATTTGTTATTGTGTTAGCTTTTCTCTCCTGATTTCATCATTAGTCATTGAGTTAGCTTTTTTCTCTTTTTTATTGTATCATTTGTCACTGGGTGTGATTTCCTTTGTTTTTTCGATTAGGTTTGCATTCTCTGTTTAATCTAGATACATTTTTGTTATTGAATTTATTTACCTCAGCTGGTTCCGTCATTACTTTTCTCTTGAAAAAAAAAGGCAATGCTGATATCGTTATTTTTGCGCTTGGCAAAAGTTGTCATCAAGAACTAAACAGAACTAACATCAACAGTAACTTTTTGTCTTCTGAAGGGGTAGCGCTGCCACCAGAACCAACAAGACTAAGGTGTTAGGAAGGATATATAATATCTTTTTTTTTTAGTTTTCATCCTGCTATGCCCTTTCAATACATTAATCCGATGGTCTTTTTTCTGTTATGCGCTATGTTGCAAAGTTATATAATCTAACTCAACTGAATTTTCAAACTTAATCTCCAGGGTGGCATCCCCTCTCGCCATGTTGTACAGCACATCTGTATTGGAGCACCACCATTTTGACCACTGCATTATGATCCTCAATAGTGAGGTAAGCTTACTTGCCTTAAACAAATCCCAAATTAAATTTGAACTATGGTTATATGACAATATGAAGGAAAGCGTTATCAAGTTAAATGTTGACGTTTCTATTGAGAATCACTGGGGTCCAAGTCATACGCCAGAAATATTTTGACATAACCTTATTTTAACTACTTTTGGGGGGGAGGGGGGTGCGTAGTAATTATTGCATAAGAATACAAATGCAAACAGTTCAGTATGGATTAGAATTGCTTTGTGGGGGGGGGGGTTGTGGGAAGGGAGTTTGTTGTTTTTTAGGGGTTTTTTCGATAAGCTTCTTTGTGTATTATGGAAACAAATGCAATATCCCAAAAGACAAAATCGGCATCGTCACTAATAAACGATCTTGGTCATCCATCAAAGCGCTGTCGCTGTCCTCGCTCAATATTGCTTCATCATTCTGTCAGCGGCGCAACAGACCACTGGCCGCCTTCGCCATTCGGCAGCGGCCCAAGGTCCAATAACCCAATTGACTCTCCCTTCTTTTCCGTAGCTGTGCCAATCAGTGCTAATGAAGAAAGGCAATTAGTGTCAGATTGAACAACGAGAAATAAGGTAGGCCTGAAGCGGTTGATTTTCACGACAGTTGCTGTTGGCACTTTGAAAAGATGAGTGGGGAAAGCACGTGAAAGGTGAAGGGCGACGAGGAAAGAATGGATCATAAATTATTAGCGTTGGCAAACAGACAAGCTGCAAAAACTCATAAAACGCCAAGTAAACAAATTGCAAGAGTACTCGAAGGAAAAAGAAGATTTTTTTTTCTTTTTCAGGGTAACAACATTTTCCAGTCTTTCCCTCCAGAAGAATACAGAAGAGCCATTAAGATTCTCGAACATGCTATTCTGTCTACCGACCTCGCTCTTTATTTCAAGTAAGTCCGTCACTATCACCATGTATCAGCCTGTTTGAATAGTAAAACCATAGAAACATTAGTTACAAACAAATTGCTACCCTAGAATAACATATTTCTATCTCAATACCTAGTATAGAGAAATTTGACGTTAAAAATTATAAGTTTCACGACATGTCAAGCTTTTTTTAATGCAGTGCTTTGAAAATCTTGATAACAACTCCGATTAATCTTTCAATTTTGATATAGCAGATAGAACATTTGGTTTTTTACCTCATGGTCTAAGTAACTGAAAAGGTCAAAAATGCCCCATACAAGTTTGTAATTCTAAGGTAGCGAAATGTCAAATAATGAGGTGCAAAATGTTTTAAGTTCATAAACAATGTTGTCTGATCGAATACAGAGAACAATGGGTGTATTTTTATCTTGTTTTAGTGCATGTACTTGTGTGCCAAAACCAAGACGAATTCCCAGTTTCTCATTAATGCAAACAATTATATAACCAACTTTTAACTCGCTACAAACACGCCTTTCTTTGCTGTCCGCTGATAGCTGAACAAAACCAACCGGTGAGTGCCCGTCTTCTGTAATAGAATGATTAATGGGCGCTGTTTATGGGGCGGGCCTCTCTGACATTAACGTGGAAACGGTCAATAATGAAGACGGCATTGTGAGCTGGATATTCATGGACGCCAACTCAGTACACAAGGATGCAAACTCTTTGGTGCTTTTCAGTCAGTTCTTTTCTTTTCTACATTGTGATCTAGTATCAATACGTCTTTATATATTTTTGCGAAGTCTATTTACATTTTACGGCTGTTTAGCAGTCGAATGAGCCCAGCTGTTTTCAAATTAGACTTTCATTTCCCATACTGCCTTTTTTAGGATGTTAAACTGGCATAATCAGGTGATGTGAAGATATTACCAGTGATCAATTAATGAATTATATAGATGATGTTGTGGATAATAATATTTGGCTAAAGTTAAATGTTCCCCGATGCAATATAATATTCTGTTACTATACTTTTTATTTATTATTTTCAGGAAAAGGGGCGACTTCAAAACCCTTGTCGAAAGTGGAGAACGTAACTTTAAAGAAGAGGAGAAAAAAGATTTGCTGAAGTGAGTGACATTGCCACTGTACTTTGAATTTGGTATTGTTTTTGTTAAGATTATAGGATAATGTTTCGGCAGCATGAATTAAAATGTTGTTCTTGTTTCGGTTTACTTTACCCCAAATGTAATATGGGAAAGCAGCTAAGTTCACAATCTACACTACATTGATTTATTTTAATCTCGACAAAAGTGTTCCAGTTATTTTTACTTTTGATCACGACTGACAGACCCGTTTCCCCTGCATTAAACCCCGCCTGCTTTCATTGCAAAATTCACCCACAGGCATACCTGCATAAAGGCACTTATACTCTCCCATGTTAGAAGTATAAAGCTGTCATTTCCGAACTTGGAATTTACTCCTATAGACCATTTTTCCTAAAACCCCATTACCCATCTATCACTAGGATCCATATCCTCCTTCTTTTTCGTGTATGCTCCCCACCCAAAGAATGCCCTCCAACTATTGACCCCCTCAACACGCACTATATCCTAGAGCCATGATGATGACAGCCTGTGACGTCGCCGCCATCACAAAACCATGGAAGATCCAGAAAGAAATCGCCCAGCTTGTCACTGCTGAGTTTTTCGAGCAAGGCGACATCGAGAAGACTAAACTGGGTCAGAAACCAATCGTAAGTTTCCGACATAACTCACAACTTTCTCTTTACACCTGTAATTTGCACTGTGACTTGGTTACTAGCCCAACTTCAGTTTTAAGTTTGGGTCTGTTTGCCCTTCCAAAACAATAATATATGTTTTATGAGAGGAAAAAAACCTATTGTCTAAGATTTGTCTGACTATTTGAAGTGAGAGCTTCCAATTAATATCAAAATAGTCTTGTTAAATTGTTATGACTTTATAATTTATTTTATGCTACCCTTTGAGTTTAATCTTTATTTGTTGACGATACCCTGTTATATGTTGATGGTGTTAAGGTATGACATACTGCAAAAACTATTATTAGAAAGAGATTTCAAAATTACGCTTAATTGAGGATTACTGCAGGGGTGCAGTTGGTACATTGTGTCTGCACTCTTGAAAGGCACATATCGTCAGTTCACAATTTTCTGCCCTCGAACATGCCTGTAAATGAAGAAGATTGCTAATTTTTTGTCCATAGTTACGGAGGCAGAAAGATAATTGATAAGATGTGTTTTAATTCTGGAAAAGGACAGGAAAAATTGCAAGACTTATGCTCGTATAAAAACGGTTTAATGTAATATTATCATAACAATTTATCTCTATCAGCCGATGATGGACAGAGAGAAAAAAGATGAGCTACCAACAATGCAAGTGGGATTCATTGACTCAATATGCACCCCAGTCTATGAGGTAAGCTGTTTTTTAATACTCGTTTTTATTTCTAATTGCAAAGCTCACCATCAAGAAACTGAAATACATTTTGGTTCAGAATAGATGTAATGACAGATGATATATTATCCAATGTTCATACAAGGATTATTAACAATGTTGTGGAGAATCCGAAATCTGGTTTTCAGCTGTGGAAATATATTATTATTGAATATATGCAATCTTTTAGAACGTTTTCTTTTACAACATTAGCGTCTGTTACAATTTACTCGTTCCAACTTACATACCTTTTTGTCGTTTCGTATGTACTACAGACCAAGTCAGTTATTTTCTCTTTTAACATCGAGGACAGAACTAACATGTCAAATTCATTTCAAATTATTGTTTTGTCGTTATAACTATAAGTGTTTCATATAATCCTGGTTTTTTCACGACCCAAGGCGTTTGCCAATATGTTCCCGCGACTGTCCCCGTTTTACCAAGGACTCATGTCAAATCGGAACAACTGGCAGACTTTGATCGAGAAGAACAGCTTGGCGGAGTCTGCCTCTACTGAGGAAAAGAGGCTCCCACCAATCACCTCCCCATCGCCTACCGTTGTCAGTGAGAAGTCAGGAGAAAAAAACAATGCAAGTTTGAAATCGGCTGGTTCTAAAGGTAGCAATTCCAAGAAAGCGCCTCCTCCCTCATCTCCCCAAGGCTTGCGCTCCCCATTGCTGGTCCGGCGCTCCCCTTTAAGTCCCAACAGGTTAGGGGAGCCACCTCGCTCCCCCAACAGTCTCAGAACTCACAACACAACACAACTCTCCCCGGGTGCTCAACGGAGAAACTACCAGGCTTTTGGCAGCACTTGGCCTACCAAGCTTACTTCTCTGACTCCGCAAAAGGAAACGGCAAACGGCTCCGGCGGCAGAAAAAGTTCTCAACTCCGTAATGGCAAACCTTCCTCCTACACCGCGCGTCCATGGGCCACGACACTAGTGGGCAACTCTTCATTGTCATATTTTCAGTGTGAACACAACCCTACTCTAGATTTCTTGTCCAGTGACACTACTTGTAGATCTGAAGACTTTTTTTCTTGTGCGAAGCACACACACCCTCAACCCTCCCTCGTGTGATTTCATTTCAGTCTCTTTGATCCCCGTGTTCATATTCTTTAAGTTGTCTTTGTTTTATTTTCTTTGTTTTTTTCTGGTATATTTGTTTTGCTCCACAGAGAGTAATATTTTGTTGTGGTGTAGATATTAATGATATTTTTGTTCTGCAAAGCGGTCAGATGCATATTCACAGCTTGGCCTGTAGTGACTCCAACGCACGCGCTGTGGCGTAGTACGCGCTTTCACTAGGCCTTACAGTAGTGCTGATTTGTGCGCTTCCTGCAGACTGTCGACCAATAATTGATTACCGATTCGGTTTCACGGACGAGATTAATTTTATTTCCCTCGGTGTGATTGCAATGAAGAAAAATCCGAAAATAGTCACACTCAAGTCTAACACATTTCAATGGACCCCATGCGGCTATGAAGTAGGGTCCATTTCACGTTAATACCTCAGACTGAGCTCGGGTGAAGGGATATACTTGTCGAAATACCTACTAATTAAAGACTTCAATACTTCAGTTTTCCTTGCTCAGAGCACGAGATTAAGAACATGGTCTTTCTAGTTATCCAATAAAGATCAAGCGTCATTTTCCCCTAGAACAAATTGATCGTTTGTCGAAAAAAGGAAGTACACTTCTACGCTCAAAGTTATTTCCAACTTCACCTTCAGAATCTAATCTCACAACACATATCTTGTTGACTCTTTACGTATGCGTGTATGTGGATGTTTTTATATGTATGTCGTATGTGTGTTTATGTGTCTGTGTGTGTTTGTGTGTGTTTGTGTGTGTGTGTGTGTGTGTGTGTGTGTGTGTGTGTGTGTGTGTGTGTGTGTGTGCATGTAAAACCGGTCTCTTATCGGAGCGTGTGCCCCTTGTCTCTTGTAGTTGTTTGCGAAGATTTCTGACCCACTTCGACCGCTCAACGACGGATGTGCTAGCAACAGAAAGCACTGGGAAGAGATGGCAAGTGGGAACTCACAAGACGACAACACAGATGAGCAAACAGGTGCCTCACGATTTGTTTGATATGCAGGGCATAATTAATCTTAACCGCATCTAATTATATACATATCATCCTTCATATACACGTCTCTTGGCATCAATGAAAATACTACTAACCTCATATCATCATAATCTAACTAGGCCTGAAACCTATTATTAACTAGACTGGGATACATTCAATGTGAGCCTGTTTCCCTGGAAAAAAAATCCACAGTCACAGAGCACCATGACGGAACAAATATGTACATTATAATGTTTGCTATTTTTGTATGCCGGAAATTTTCTCCGTAGTGTCTTGGTTTCGATCAGAGACAATGCTGAGTTTCATATTCTAAAATATAAACCGCCACTGCATGAATCCCTGCATCCCTTTCGGTGTGATTTTGGTGTATGTATTTATGTTTAGGCGTTGTGTCAGAAGTAACTTTTAAGCGCATGCGCATTTTATATCACGGCTTGCACAAACGCAGTTCTCTTGTTTCTTTTCTACATTCAAGAACCACGAGCAAGCTTTGATTCTATGATTGTTCAAGATAGAGATATCCAGACCCCAAACACGTAATAAATCCACAATTCTAATACGCTATCTTCCATATCTCTCTTTTTTTCTGAGAGTGAACTAAAACAAAAGTGCTCTGTAAAGTGTTTGATTGGCACTGGACTTATATGTAGACTCACCTAATGCATGTATTACTCAATAAAATAACTAGACCTCGATAGAAGCTCAATCGCAATAACAGTCTGCAACGACGTACAGGCTACCTTCAATGAGTCTGAAAATGAAAAAGCCAATGGGAAGTAATGCAGAAGGCTGGCCTCGTAGTATTGCTATGTCGATTGGATGTTCTATCGGATGGGGCTCTCGGCCGTAAATAAGCGAATAAACAAAATAACTTTCGCTACATGAATACAGAATTTCTAAAGGGCTGTTTGATACCTTTTCACTAGGGTATTTATTATTTCAAGACGCCAGCATCTCAAAAGGCAGACAAGCCGATACACTGTTAGCAGTTTCTAATGATTTAATCAAAATTAAATGATCGTCATTCATATTGTGCAACAAATTCTACCGTCCAGTTGCTCATTTGAACCTGAATATATTTTCCTTATAAATTACTTTAAGATTTAATGCAAGCAAGTCGCCAGAGCATAAACATGGTACAGAGTAATGGATGGGGGAGAAATATAAGATCAAGATATATACTTTATTGTTGGTAGAACACTTGCATGAAATGTCCAGGACTCTGTGTTGTTTGCACCCTGTGGCCTTGCCTCACCCGCCTCTCCCTCGCATGACTCTGTCACTGGTTTCTATGATCATTCACTCTTTGTTCCCTTGACGTTCACCTCAACTTCACCAGTAATGTTCTTTCTTGGGCTTTGTTTTCATAATTCAATAAGGCATGACTTTTAGTTACAGTACTTTAGAAATAGTCCTGTTCAAAATTAGAACTAACAATACCTATCCCATTATTCTTTAGACGGTGAAAGTTGTAAAACAATATATTAGTTTAAATAATAATGATGTTCGTGCTGGTCTGTAAATAATGACAGCGCACAATATTAGAGATAATAGTAGTAGTAGAAAGTCTTAAAATAACCGTTTTAAGGCACACCATGCATGGCAAAGCTAGAATATCATGTCACAATATTATCTTATGAAGCATGATTGAATATGATGTTATGTTGAACAATGTCCCATATGGTGTCAAATAATTTTGTTCAATCGAGTGTGCATGCCCAAAGTGCTTGCCCTATACAAGTTAATTGATTGAAGTTAATTTAAGAGAACGCTCCATGACAGAGCGATTTTGGTATACCACTATTTGATTGTTCATCTAAAATAGGCTGCTGGGTTGTAATACTTTGTTTACGCTTGCAATGTATATCCTTTTTTCTGATTATTTTCAAGGCATTGAAGTGAGGTAAAAGGGGGGGGGGTCTGGTTTCAGTTTATAGAAGAATTGCTTAAGATGTATTTTTAATATGGGGGCGGAAAAGAACTTTCCACTGGAATACAGTTGGGGACATTGGAACAGTGTTGAATAGTTTTCTAGCTATAATTCGCAATATTTTGACTCATGCATGTCAGGGCAAGTATGTACCCTTATTCTCAGAGTGCGAGCCGGGTGGCATTGTTAAAGACGATTAGTTTACATGCACATAATTATAAGCCAGATCATATTTCGAATGCTAGTGCTAAGGTAGAAAAGAAATAGGACAAGAAAGGAGAGGAGGTATAACTTTTCTCACTTACATTGTCTACAGAAAACATCAACAAAATGTGTAAAGACTTGTTTTGAATATAATTCCTTTGGGAGCGCGGGAAGCGGGAAAGAGTGAAATTTATAAATCAGTCAACGAATGGGAACGAAAATAAAGTTTCAAGAAGTATTAACATGTGGTCTTTTATTCATTTATTTGGGGGGGGGGGGGTACTTACTATGCTGAAAGAAACTGAAGGGGGCATTGTTGAAGGATCTAAATTTAAATAAAGCAGGGCTAAGCTAGAAACAAGCCACCAATGTAACAGTCTCCTGCCTGGGCCCCCCTACCCCCCACCACAGGAGAAGGGAGTCAAGAAAACAAACAAGACAGAAGCGGGCAAAGCCACCAAGAGCCCGAGCAAGCGACCCAAGGCCAGTGCGCCCTCAACGGCGGTCAAGCACCCAACTCAGCGCTAAAATCTGACATGGCCCTTCACAGCAAACACACACACAACAACAACACCACCACCACCTCTCACATTTCTCATTCTAACTCATCACCACAATCATCGCAATCGTCATCATCTGTCAACAATGTAAAGTCCACCCATACTGAGAGCACCCGGACTCCTCAGCAAACTGCTAACGTAAGTATTCTCGAAGGACGTATCTAATTGGTTTGAGGCGGGTCATTTCTGCTGTTACCAGTAGTGACTATTGATAAACAGGGGAAAAGAGGGCGCGCGGGAGTGGGGGAGGGGGAGTTATAGAACCTGAAAATCAGGATTGATTCTATTCCAAGTACATTCTTTGAGACACAATTCATCCCTTTGATGGAATTGTTAACCCTTTCTAGTCACATATCTGAACAGGTTTTTCCCAGTATGACTCTTATTGCCAATAATATACTAATCCGTAAACGTTTTCCCCTCTTCCTGCAGCCGAGAGAATGAGAGTTCGGTGTCGCAATATTGTAACCAGTGTTTCGCGTTTATCTGTTAAAAAATTAAGTTGCTTTAATAAAAACGATTACACTATTTTTAAAGTTTCCTTTACGAAGTTTTCCCTTTCATACTAAATTTTCTAAAACAATGAGCTTCATAACTTCCCTTTTGAAATTGTTTCTACATGTGATGTATGTTTTAGCCTATATATTATACGGGACGGCGGTATTTGTGCTACGAACGAAAGTTGGGGAAACAATATTACAATTGGACTTAAAACCATACCCAGTTAGATTTTTAGTTACGAAAATAAACAATCCCCCCACCCCTTCCTTTTTCTTCATTGGCTTTCAAGACATGGCAAACCCCAAAGAAAAAGATGTTATTATTTATATTATTTAACGATGTTCAGGATTTTCAAAAGATAAGGAACCTAAAAGAATAAGGGTAGTGTCCTTTGACAAAGTGGTCCTTCTGGGGAAAAAATGTTTCACGACCCGCCACAGGCTAAAACGGTCTTTGGTATTCTGATGTAGTATACCCGAATGTTGGAAGTTGCTGATGTTCTTTTGCATGGTTCCACTGATCAGTGCTCTCACTCTCTCACTCCTCGTTCACTTACTATAGTGTTTGGGTCTATTTAGTTCCATTCGTCTTTCCCTTTCTTTGGTAAATTTAAAGTAGATGTGTTTTGTTGTGGGGCTTTGCCGTTCTGTTCATTGTATTATGGGTACATGTGCATTATCATTACCTTTTTCATCCCTACTAACAACAATTCTTACTTCTTGTGCACTTTAGATAACCTTCTCTCTCTTTCTTTCTTTCTTTCTTTCTTGCTTTCTTTCTTTCTTTTCTGTGATGACATCTTTCAATTTACGTGATAACTTCTGTTTTGTCTTAGAAACAGAATTGTGGACTTATTTTTGTTCATTATTAAAATGCATGGTAAGGGCAGAATGTAGACTTTCGTTTGGGGATATCTTCCATTGGAAACGATATCTGGTAAAGAACATACAGCACATCTTTAGGAGCGACATAACCTGTATATTGACACTATGGATAATGCCATCTGTTCTTGACGTTTCTGCAATGTCTTGTATAATAATCATTATAATATTAATCATAATCATAATCATACTAATGATAATAATAATAATGATAAGGATATTGATAATTATTATTATAATAATAATAATAATAATAATAATAATAATAATAATAATAATAATAATAACAATAATTATAATAATAATTATAATAATAATAATAACAACAACAACAACAACAACAACAACAACAACAACAACAACAACAATAATAATACATTGTGCACACCCATGCTCTACAGCATCGTCTATGAGCTTTGCAACTATTTTTACTTTAGCAGATCGTAGATCACTTAGAAACGTTCTCGGCCTCCCGGGAAGCATAAAATAATGGAGGCCTTAATATTTAATGAAGACTGCAATACCGTTACTTGATCGGAGCACTAATTCGTTTCCAGGAGCTCACGTTGTAAAAAAATGTAGGTAGGCCTATCTTAATCTTATTGTATAGCACGTGTCAAAACGGCGGTGTTCTATCCTTTCTTATATTTTATCGGCGTGGTCTCCCTCACCATCCTTTCTTCCTTTCCAGTCGCTATATATTCTTCAACGCAGTTCTGTTTCTCTTCACATAGGTAAGACACGTACCAAACGTCGAATGAACTTTCAAAGAATCCTGCAATGTCATATGCGCTTTTGAATATCCTCGTCAGTGAGGTGGTTGGCGTCATTCACCTTTACCACAGTGTTGTAACTGCACTTTACAACTATGACCTTATTTTTCATGATATTGTGAATGTTTTTATGCTTTTCCAACTGTTGAAGTTATGTACAGGGCGATAAAAAATGTGTACAAATTTTTTTGGAAATATTTTCTTCCACACTGAAGTTTTGCGTTTCAAATGTGTACACAACATTTGGAAGTCAAAAGGAATTTGTCTGATATTCATTTTAGATCATTCGAAAGAATAGTTTTTCTCTACATAGCGCGTTTAAAAGTCCCAATGATCGAGTTATATTATTGCAAGCTACAGTAATCTAGTTATATGTTTATCTCAAGTTTTTTTTGCCTGCTGAGATCATGCTTAAGATTAGTAAAGAGCAGAGAGCTTTTTGTATTGAGCATTTCCTCAACGCCAGCGCGTTTCGTTAGTTTCGCACTTGATACGGTGACGTTTTAAAGTGTCCTTAATGCCTTCTTTGATATGAAGGGTGAAAATGGTCCATCAGTTTGGACCTACAGTAAAGAATCAAAACCAAAAGTCCCCAGACAAAACGACCATTTCAGATCAAGCACAGACCATTCGCATTAAACGTCACTAGGGTGCAGAATTCGGAAGATGAGCCCAATGAGAAGTCTGTCCGTAGACAATGTCTGCAGCAAGGACTTCCCTACATCTCAACGGTCCGCGTTTTCAAGGCATATCTTCATCTACGACTGTACTATTTTCGTGTTTGCGAAGCTGACATGAGTCAGAGGATAGCAATGTGTTCGTGATTACTCGATCGTCTTGAAAAGCGTGAACATTCCTCTAGGACATTTGATTCCTTGACTTAGATCTAGCTCATATTCACATTTCAGGATATGTTAACTCCAAAATGTCTATTTGTGTCCCTGCCGGTCAATATCAGTCATTTGAAGGAAATTTAAAAACTGAGTTAACATTATTTTTTTAAACTATCGCTTTTTCCCAACAATTTAAAACAAGAATGAAGTAAATATGACCATGTTTTACGAAAAATACAGAACTTTTAATTGTGCGAGGTGAGGAAACATGAAAAGGAGAAAATGGCCTCCGAAGTTGAGCAACATGTTTCAATAGCAATGGGGGTCTTAGAATTGAGATAGAGACTGGAAATTTCACTGTTATCTTGGCTATGCCACGACAAGGTTATATACGGAAGTAGAAAGCTATTCGTTTACAAAGATAAAACTTATGGACAAAACAGAATTTTCACGAGAATGGACTTCACGTCAAATGCGACAAAATATGAGCATTCAGGTACCAGATATTAAATTTTCGAAGTAGCTGTATGTCAAATTCATCTGTTTCATATGAAAGGCCTATGTCTCCTGAGAATTTTGGTGCCATACTTTTACCTCTCAGTCAATGTTAAAAGAATGGCAGCTGTGCATAATAATAAATTGCTGAAGTGCAACCCCATGTTTGACAGATAATAAAAGAGTACCAATTGCACCAACATCTCTACATTAACAGAGTACAACCATTATAAAAAAGAAATGAAGCCTAATTTTTTCATGACTGTGAGATAATTACATTTCAGTATTTCATTCCCTCAAACACGATGATCTGTCGTTATTTCAATAAAAACACCGACCGTTGTCTCGGCCGACGTCGCACCAGCCCTCGCGGCGAGCGAGTCGGCTCAATACTGTAGTGTACTGAGTGCACCCGGTAGTTCCGCGAAAGGATTCATGTAAAATAATTCCAAGCCGATGACTTTATTCTAATAGAAAAAGAAACAGTTCTTTCTGTTTGTACCTTTTTTAGCCGGTATTTTGCACATTTCGTGTTAAAAATTATCTTTGAAAACGTAGACACTTTTTTTTCCAAATGTTTCTATCCAAACGCCAAAGGCCAATGATAATAACCACGGGAAACCATGCTCAAAGCTGTATAGTTCTCCGCCAATCAAAAGACAGTATTAAATCATCAATCTTTCAGCAAAGCTTTCGAATGCATGGGTGTCAATTTTGAACCGGCCGACCTCGCATTCTGACCGCGAGGGGATTCCCTTTCCACGGCGATTCTGCAGCTCCGAATACTCGGATATACAAACAACTGACACTATTGTAACGAAGAAAATGAGAACTTTTTCAAAGTGTTCAGCATTTTGTGTTTTATAGCAAAAGAGCGAAGAAACAGAGATCTGAATCACCCCCATTTCACCGAAACCGCACACTCGGAAGGCCGCGAGTCGGCTTACGTGCCGTGTTTACTCTACCTAATTATACGTTTGCACATAAACATACGAGACAGCACACACACACACACACACACACACACACACACACACACACACACACACACACACACACACACACACACACTAATACACACGCACATACACACACACACACACACACGTATACACACCAACACACATGCACACACATGCACACAGACCGCTTCGCTGGCCTCTTGGTAAGGAGTCGGCTTTGAGAGATCTAGAGGAAGGTTAATTAATCTTTTAAAAGCACTAAAACACAATAAAAAGGACTTTTTTTTAAAGTCCAGTGTAAAACTGAAAGATCAACAGACGATAACAGCTAGCAGGTCACGCCCTATAGTTGTTTGTTTTGTTGTTTTTTTTAATGTAGCAGAAGACATAAAACTTTCAATATATCCACCCCAAAAAAATGTTCATAGAAAGTCACTTTTTTGACTTTCGAGCCTCGTAGCTGATAATAGCACACTGCGTCTTACGACTGATATTGACCGGGGCAGGCAGATTTGGGCAACCTCACCCGCCACCCTATTGCCCCTAGAAGCAACCCCATACTCTAAGACGCACAGTGTGTGCAGCTTTGAGTACTCATGGTTGGATGGATCTTTGTTTTTGGCCACCACTGAACATTACGAACAACGCGTTAAAATGAGACAAGTTCATGGGAGGACACATAGAGAGCACGTTCTCGAAATTCCAGAATTTAGAAAAGAAAAAAAATTAAAATTCTAAAACTTTGAGAGAGAAAAGAAGTATTACTGTTTAAATGTTACAAAGATGGAAAGATTAGATTCCAAAAATTAAAGGAAGGGAAAAAACAAACCAATCATTTCATGACTCTCCTAAAATTACCGTACCAGATCTTTTAAATTTGAGCATTTTGCGTTTTTAGGTAGTTTTTATCGAATGCATTTCTGTTTTCGAAAACAAGTTTCTTCTTTATGAGCTTTATGTAAAACAAATTCCTTTTGAATGAATTATAACTTTTTTCAAATTACAACATTCTTGTACAAATTTTGGGCGAGATATTCAGAAAAGAAAGTTGTACAGTTGTTGTTTTTTTTATCACCCTGCATCTATAAAATGAACAGAACTCAATGCTTATACTTTTATTACGGTTGAGAAATGTCAGCAGTAGATCTAGTAGCGTTGTGGATCGGGGATTCAAATGTTTTCCCCACTCCCAAAGCTCCAACGTGAATGGGGGCTGGAGATTGGGGATGCTAACATTAATTCGTGACAGCTAAAAATGTAACTAATGCGCGATTTTGATACATGTAGAACGTTTTCCTCATTTTGCTAGTTTTATTTCTTGCCATTGCACTTTCTTTGTCCCTTCCCGCACGTTTGTGCGTCACACCCATTCTCCGCAAATTTTGTGTGCACGCCATAGCCGTTTTCATATTTTGTAACTTTTCAAATCCAGAACTCTCTTCATTAAGATGGGTGGAAATAAAGGCACCCACTTCTCACTAAAAGGAAGTCCAACCCTTTTTCCACATTACACCCGCCAACGTTTTTGCTCATTTGGATTTTATTTAAGAGTATCATCACTTTCTCCTTTCTTTCCTTTCCTATTTTTTTCTTTGTATGTGTGTGTGGGGGGGGGGGGGGTCTTATAATCAATACTTTACCGTGTGAGCAAAGATCGTCCTATAGGAAATGTAAATTGAGTTAAATTCTTCGAAAAACAGAGTCCGAAATGTGTCTGAGAGACAATACAAACTAACTGAACAACTTTGCAAAAAACGTGTCCTCGAGGCGAATGCTCTTCTTTATCACCCTGAATTGGGCGTTAAAAAAAGATTGATTACTTGTGGTTGAGAAATAGGCTTTTGGTATGCCATTCCGTCAAAATAAGGAAAGAAACAATTACATTCTAGAATTTGCTCTGTCGGAGATACTAATAGGGCTTGAAACATTAATATATTGTTGTCATTGTTGTTGTTATTGTTGTTGCTGTTGATGGCATTGTGGTTGTTGTTGTTGTTTTATGTCGGTGTACTGTTTGGGGGGGGTGAGGATTTTTGGGGGGGGTTTGGGGTTTTTTGTTTGTTTTGTTGTTGTTTTTGTTTTTGTAGGATTTTTTTTTTTGCTCTCTTTATCGGTACTATTATTGCTGCTATTATCATTATTATTATCACCGGTATTATCTTTGTTGTTGTTTTTGTTGTCTTGTCTTATCTTATGATTTTGTTGTATCTCGCTGCAGGTAAATAGTGTAAATACAGACAAGCAGCAGCACAGCATCACGGTTGCCCCCTCGAACAAGCAGCAAACGCCTACCTCTGTCACTCCAGCCATTGAAGAAATTGGGCTTAGAGAAAAAGACAAAAAACGTACAGCGAAAAGTGGAGAGTCCAAAAAGTCAAGTAAATCCTCAAAGAGCAACTTCTGCGCAGTCAGCTGACCGCATGACAAGTCGTGACTACCTGACCTTCAGCATCATCACAACTTCGTGATCAGTATTTATTGATGATTCAATGACACCATGCTCTCCACATTGTGAAAAGACCAGGACGTCGTGATTGTCTCCCCTGTTTCTTCGACGGCTGTTGGGTCGTGTGCTGGCAGAGACAGTGTGACGCCAGTGATGCGTTTAAATGACGCCAACTGATTGATAAAAATTACATATACACGAAGGAAATGGCACATTACTCAACCCAAGGAGTGAAGAGAAAATGGCATCTGCCCGTCCGTAGCGCCATTTGCTACATTTTGATCACGCTGACTCATTTGGTATTTTCTATGTAATTCGTGAACCCTTCGCCCGCTGGTCAAATATTATGTTTCCTTCCTTCCTGTTCATTGGCTAGTCCTGTTGTTTCTTTCAAGTCGCAGTTTCCCCACTCACAAGCTGGTAAACTGACTTGAGATTCGTCTTCTGTTGTACTTCTCATAAAATGTCCAGGGTAGCCACGGTGGTAAAGCCTCTACTGAATCCTGTTGTTTTGTGTGTTATTGTTTTTTTATTACATTTATTGAGCCTATTTGCAAGAATGAGAACAGACCATATCATGTAACCATGGCTCACAACAAAACTGACGTTTGACTGTGTGACTGGTATACGGTTTCTTAGTGTCCATATCTGAATGTCGTTGCACACTTTGTACATCGTATCGTCAATGGGACCATTGGGACGTATCTTCATCCTATCGATCTGACTTCAGTATCACTCTCAGATTACTGCAGTTCCCCTGTGTTGTCTCCTCGTTATCATAGGCACGACTGTCCATTTAAATTTCAACCAAATTATGTAAGTTGTCCTACACCGAAGGCGGAATGGCATGCAGGTGCGTAACACTCAAAAAAGTGCATTTTCTGTGTTTTTAAGGATTCAGAGAAAAATTAGCGATATTTTAACTGGTTAGGCGTGTGTCTTTTCACAACCTGACAAACAACGAACGTTCAGTTTAAGATTACGATGTTCTAACTTGTGACTTGACCTTTCAGGTATGAAATTTATGATTATGCTTGATTAAGAATCATTTCCTTTCTGTATTTGGTCTATTGTCTATATTTATCTCTCGATTCAGGCTGCAACTTGAGTCCAAAGTAAACAAAGCTGTGTTATCTTGTAAAGCAGATGGGCGGGTGGTTACATGGCTTGTGTGTGTGTGCGTATGTGTGTGTGTGTGTGTGTGTGTGTGTGTGTGTGT